AATTGCTATAGGATAAAAGTGTGTATGAATTTTCAGCAATTCTTTAGGCATTTAATCCTCACAGTGGAAATTCCACGGTCGGGCAGTCAACACTTGGCTACATAACCAAATGGCGGGTGGTTTGGACCTGTCCAGGGGTACTTTGGAAGGAAGGCCTGGTGTGGTGTTTCTGAAAATCCGAACATTGAAGGCTTGAGGGGAAGGACACAGTTCTGACATGGGGGCTCCAGGAGTCCAGTTGCCTTGATGAAGCTGCTCAGAAACCAGCATCTTGTCGGTGTGAGCTGTCTTCCCCACGTAAACGTCAAGTGAACCTAACTCTCATTTCTCACCCTTCACTTCCAGTGTCCCTGGCCAGGACATCCCCCAAGATGACAGACGAGAGCAGCAGGACCAGGGAATGTGTGTCCTTCAGCGTGCTGAACTGGGACCAGGTTAGCCGGCTGCACGAGGTCCTGACCGAGGTCGTCCCGGTCCATGGCCGAGGCAACTTTCCGACCTTGGAGATAACTCTGAAGGACATTGTTCAGACCGTCCGTGGCCGGCTGGAGGAGGCAGGCATCAAAGTGCAGGACGTCCGGCTGAATGGCTCTGCAGCTGGCCACGTCTTGGTCAAAGACAACGGCTTGGGGTGCAAAGACCTGGACCTCATCTTTCACGTGGCTCTTCCAACGGAGGCAGAATTTCAACTGGTCCGAGACGTGGTTCTGTGTTCCCTTCTGAACTTCCTGCCCGAGGGCGTGAGCAAGCTCAAGATCAGCCCCATCACTCTCAAGGAGGCCTATGTTCAGAAGCTGGTGAAGGTCTGCACCGACACGGACCGCTGGAGCTTGATCTCCCTCTCCAACAACACCGGGAGGAACGTGGAGCTGAAATTCGTCGACTCCATCCGGCGCCAGTTCGAGTTTAGCGTGGACTCTTTTCAAATCATCCTGGATTCTTTGCTTGTTTTCTACGATGACCCCGATAACTCCATTTCTGAGCACGCCCACCCCACGGTGATCGGGGAGAGCATGTATGGGGACTTTGAGGAAGCCTTTGACCACCTGCAGAACAGACTGATCGCCACCAAGAACCCCGAGGAGATCCGGGGCGGGGGGCTTCTCAAGTACAGCAACCTCCTCGTGCGGGACTTCAGGCCCACAGACCAGGAAGAAATCAAGAGTCTGGAGCGTTACATGTGCTCCAGGTTTTTCATCGACTTCCCAGACATCCTCGAACAGCAAAGGAAGCTGGAGACCTACCTTCAAAACCACTTTGCCGAAGAAGAGAGAAGCAAGTACGACTACCTCATGACCCTTCGCAAGGTGGTGAATGAGAGCACCGTATGCCTCATGGGGCATGAACGGAGGCAGACCCTGAACCTCATCTCCCTCCTGGCCTTGCGCGTGCTGGCAGAACAAAACATCATCCCCAATGCCACCAACGTCACCTGTTACTACCAGCCAGCTCCTTACGTCAGTGATGGCAACTTCAACAACTACTACGTTGCCCATCCTCCAGTTACCTACAGCCAGCCTTACCCTACCTGGCTGCCCTGTAACTAACCTTGAGACCTAAGGGTGTCCGCAGTGGGAGACCCTGATAGGGCAAGGGCTCTCAGGTAGGGGAGCCTCTTTCTAGATGTAGGTGTTTGGCTTTTAAAGGGGAACTCAGCTCTGATTCTGCCTTTTTTTTCTCCCACCCACGTCCTTCTGTGTACCCATTGGTAAGGGTCTGCAGTGTATCATGAGCCAACAGTAAAGGGACCCGTCTTTCAGCACCACTTTGGAAAATGCTAGAGGAAGAATGGCATACCCACATGCTTCCAAACTGGACACCAACACGCCGTGCCCCACACATGAACATGTGGGGATGGAAATCTGTGTCATTGAGATTGGGGAAAGCTCGGCCGGTGCCGGAGAGGTGTCGAGCTAATTGGTTCGCCTTCTCAAGGTAGCCTGGAGTCATTGGCTGTGTCTGCCCTCCCTGGGGATTCTTGGCAGGGCAGTTACAGAAAGTTGTGCTGATAGTCTGTTTTCTTGTATCCACTTTAAGCAGACGTAACATAGTGAACCCGAGGGTACCCTAGTGATTTACTTTTTCTTCAAGGGATTTAGGTCTATCCCAGCAGCAGAGCTGAGGGTTCCCGTCATCAGTAACCCAAAGGCAACAGCTGGAGAATTGAGATCTGGTTAGAAGTGGCTTATGGTTTAGATGTTGCGCTGTTGTGCAAAGAATTGTGTGAAACTGCTAAGAGGAAGAAAAAATTAAAAAAAGTTTCCTGAAATGTAACTTGAAAGAAAACTAATAAAATAAAATGTGGAGCCTAGTATTTTGGTGGTGGGGGGTTGACTAAGTAGGAAACGTGAGAGTGCATCACCCCCTCCCCCCCACCCCACCTTTGTTCTTTAGAGTAAGGAGTTTGTATTGAATGACTTCCCCTCATCAGCTCTTTTCATGGCTGACTGTTTGTGATCGGGGATTGTGCTGAGTCTGGCGTCCTGACATGCTGGCAACTGACATGAGGGTCTTCCCATGTTTTCATTGGAAACCCTATATGGTTGCACCCTAATATAGGACAAGTTTTTAAACCAAATTATTAAAAAATGAAAACAAGTGTGATTTCCTCCCCTAGGTGTGTGTGTATATATGTGTGTGTTGCTTTTTCTCTTTCACATGACAGCAAATGAATTCCGGAATTTCAGCAGACCTGGATGCCCGTGGAGTGCCCTGGCTTCAGAGTGCTAACCTGCTGCCTCTGGGCTGGTGTGTCTTGGAGCAACTGAGGCACACTGGATGATCATGTGGAACGATGGATTCTAGTGTAGCTGGGAAAACCGAGTGAATGAGTGATCGTCCTTATTCCAGTAGATTTGGTCCATGCTTGCTTGTCCAGTACTTTTGAAGAAAAACAGTGTTAATCTCTAGTCCAGAGCAAGCTTGCCTGAGTGGGAGAGAGCTAGGCTAATCTTGCATTCCTCGTAGACTTAGAATGAGGGGTTTTGTGTGTCAGTGTTTTGTGGGATCTCTTAGAAAGCATCACTTTTTAGAGTATCAAGGGCAAAGACACTTAAACTATTGCCAGCTTGGTTTTTAAAGTTACTACTTAATCAAACTCATGCTTCTGATTTCGGCTTTCCTCTGTGATCCTGCAAATTCCCGTCCTCTGACCCCGGTGGCTGTCCTCCGCAAGGTAGGCAGTGCAGTTAGCTTGAAGACAGGCTTTGCAGAAACGAGCGTTTTGCTATTTTTCGGGAGACATGCGTTTACATCGCTTCTGGGATGTGGTGCCGTGGTCCGCCTAGATGTAAGCTGATCAGAAATGACTGAGGTCCAAGACTTGGCTGGTGTCCAGGTGGTGTGACGAAGCCTCTTGTCAGTGTAGCCAGGTCCTGTGCCCTGTGAAGCCTCAGTTGTATTTGGATTCGCTTTGAGTCAAGACCAGCTCTGCATGGTGTGTGGGTCCCAAGGGTGTGTCCTTGTTTAAAGGGGAAGCAGATCCTAATGAAGAGCGAATGCCGACTTCCCAAACACCCTGGTCATCCAGGAATGACATCTTGACATATTTGTTGAACCAAAGTTTTGAAATGTGATGGAGCTGTTCAGCGTAAGCACTTGCTAGCTTGTTTCTCACAGAAACCAGTATTGCGTCTACTTAGAGGGCTTGTGGAATCAGGGTAATGAGATGCTGGTTGAAGATAGGGTCAGATGGCATCGAGTAATTAAAAGTTCTAGTTTGTCCTCAAAGTTCTTTCTGCTTATTTATATAGAGAATTTTTTTTTCTTATCTGGTAATAGTCCTTAAGAAAAACACAGAAGTGGCGAGAGATTTCCAGCTGTCTGATTCTATACCCCATCGAGGGAGGGCCGCCTGCCCATCACCGGGCTTGCCATCTTGGTAGCTCTTTACCTGCACTTTCCTTCAGCTCAGCAGCTTCTGTAGTTGGAGAGTGGACAAGGCTGCCTGCAGTTCGGGACACCATGCCACTGGCCAACATTGCACTTTGAAAACAGCCCATGGCCAAATGGGTTCTCCACTTCCTCCAGGAATCTTCTGCCAGTCTTAGATTACACCAGGTAACTTAGCTTGGGGGGGGTGTGTGTCCAGGAATTCCAGCTTGTCCTTCCCTTCCCTGTCCCTGCCCCTGTCCACGCACCAAGCCCGGGGTGTGAGGGGGTGGTGTAGCATGGGCTTGGCAGTGGCAGACAGCACTAAAATTCAAGTAACATGACCCAGTCTGTATGGAAGCAGTCTCTCATTTACTTTCAGGACTCTGAACCATTTTCGGGTGCTTTTTAGAAGTAGACAGCCTATTATCCCAGCTTGCAGCCTGGAATCAGGTTCAAGGGTATCGATTCAAATGGTACCTTGTTCTCCATGTATTGGTAGATGAGTACACACTAAGTTTTGGCCTTGAACTTCAGTCTCGCCCTTGGCAAGGAGACTTTGTTCCTCACTCACCAAATTCAACTCTTGAAACCAAGCTCATGGTTTCACCAGTGCCTTCCTTCGAGAGCGCTTGCTTACTTACGACTGCAGGTGGGTTGACATGGCCCAGGCCGGGAGGACCCAATTGATGTGTGGGTTTGGAGGAGTTGGGTCGATGGCTGGTTCTTGTTAAATGGTACAGATGTAGTTTGGCATTCGTGTGTGTGTGTGTGTGTGTGTGTGTGTGTTGGGTTTTTTTTGCATTTTTTTTTGGTCACCCCCACCTCAAGTTTGATTTTCCTTGGGGATTTGAGCTACAGCCAGCTGTTCATGAAACCTGAATTTTGCAGTGGCACCTTAATCACATTGCTGAAGATCTGATGCTACTTGTCCTTGACCACCCCCTCTAGCCTCTTACCTTCGTGGTAGGTTGGCGTTTTAACTAGTACCATTTTTATTCGCCTTGGGGAAGTGGTGCCGCTCTATAAAGCAGCCCCCCTGGCTTTAGGAATAACTCCTGTCTGGCTCACTTTTGGGGACTGGTGCCTCATCTTAGGGTGAAAACCCTTAGGTTCTTTGTTGGAGCGCACCTGCCCTCTCCTAGTGAGTGAATTAAAAAAGTTATCCAACATTTAATAAAAGCAAAAAACACCCAATACCCTTACATTCTCAGGGGCCCTTTCTTCCTGTCTAGGGCTCTCTGCTAGGGAGAAGCCTTTGGGTGGTTTCTGGAAGTTGAGAGAATTGCGAGTTCCCAAGGTTAGATTCCTATCTGTAGTCTGGCAGAGACCAAAATATCACCGACGCCACTGGAGTATATTCCAGTTCAACCAACTACTCCAGGGTACCCAGGGAGCTATGTAGGGGGAAATACTCAAAACCAAATCAAACCAAAAATGTCAGCTTTTCAGAATTATTTATGACTTGTAAGGTGAGGATCAGGAAAGAAATGGGTCATTTTATGCATTCAAGTGCCTGAATCTTGTTTACCTATCACTTTTTAAAGACATAGCTTAAGTGTAAGATGAAAATGTTTGGCGTTTTGCTTGGGCTAGTGAGAGTTGGTACAAATCTCCCTGTGTGTTTGTGGAAGAAGGTGAGAAAGACCATCCACTACAGAGGAAGTAGTTAAAATAAGTATCTGTGGGCTTTAAAAAATTCTTTTTAATTTATCTTTTTTCTTTTAGTAGTGTTTAAAACTGCATTTAATTTTCTAAAGCAATGATTGATTTTCAAATTATTTCAGATGAAAAGATACCCATTAGAACCAATCGGAAACTTTTTCATCATTCTCGATTTGCTTCTAGTTCTTAGCAGTGCCTAAGACGCCTGAGCGGTCCTCTTGGTCAATGGTCACTGACCTTCTTTCTTACTTGATGCCAATGAAATCCCTTGTCAATGCAAAATGTGCTAGAACTTGATATGAAATAAAGCTTTGTGGTTGAGAAATAAAATGTGTCATAAAAAAACCCAAACCAAACTCCTTGTCAGCTATGCTTATTTCCTTTTGTTTTCTCCTCAACTGGCGAAGGATTTCCAGGTTATGGACAGCACATGCTGAATGGTAGGGGGAACAGCCGTCGGCAAGATCAACATTGGGTACTTCTCTGAAACACGATACTTTCTCTGGGGTGGAAGTGAGACGGTGTCCCTGGAGGGCCCATAATTCCAACATTTAGAATCAACTCCAAGGTTCTGGACCAATTTAAACTCCTCTATTCCTCAGGGTGTACCCTATCGTCTGATACTTAATGGCAGGTGCCATTCCCTCTGTACTTGTCTCTTGTCTAATTCAGTAATAATGACTAGTTTTCCTTGAACTTGACCCTAAATCTATTCCAATAATGGAACAATAACTCCCACCACATTATATACCTCACTGCCATGGGGTAAATGCTGATTCATAGGAACTTTTTTGGAATAAGTTACTCCGAGGACCCAGGGGAGTTTCTCTCCCCACCCACCCCTCACCTTGATTTGGGGCTCACCCCAGAGACCAAGATTCCTTCAAACAGATGGGATTGGGGCACTCCTTGGGCAATGTGAAGTTGCTACTGGGAACAGTGACCAACTTTATTTTGTGATTCCTTTGATCCAATCAACAATGCCCCTGCCAACCCGCAGCCTACATTGGGTTTATTCTCCAACCACCTATTGTGTGAAAAAATGCCACAAGTGCCCCATTACAACTCATCAGACCAGCCTTTCTAAGCCCTCATCTCTCTGCCCTCATGCTGACTCAGGCTCACCCCTTCCATGACCACTCTGCTGAATTTAACTCTTCTGATCCCCTCGATGACTTAGAAATGTCTCTCACTGTGTGTCAAATCTTTCAGCCTCTTGTCTTCAGCTGCTTTGTTGCTTACACATTGTAGATGGAGGATGAGGGTTCCCTGGAGTTCAGTAGACGTTGGGTCCTTCCTGGTGGCATTTATTAAGTAAGATTTTCCCTTTAAACCTTGACTGCAGGCTCACCCCGTCAATGGCATGTCTTCATCTTGGCATCGTCAATGTCTGCATCAGCCTCGTTGGACTTCTCGTTGACCACCTTCAGTTAACTACAGTCAACTACCTCCTCACATTGGCTAGACTTTGGAGCTAGAGCTGGTCATGAATAGTGACTTTTGACTCCCTTTATGAAAATGGGGAGCAACCAAAGAGCAATGTGATGATCTCATGCCTGTGATCCAGCTCCAAGGTCCTTTCCCTCCTTTATACCACAGACCATCTGACGTGTTCGTCGGCTCTAGCTTGGTGCAGCTCTTGGCCAAGCTAGATCTCCAAGCTTGCCGCTTGCCTGCATCTTTCCTGTCTTCAAAGGCTTCCAAAAACACTTGTTCAAGCCTCTCCCCTACATTAAAACCTGCTTCAGACCACCGTGTGCAGGATTATATGTCAGACTAAACACAATGTTTATAGTTGTTCACAGCTATCCCTAGTCTACCTTCTCGGCCTCCGAACGATTTCTGCCAAGTCATTTCGACTTCTAGAGCCTACGGTCATGTCCATGCATTCACACCACACAGCTAGCACCTACACACCTGGCTCAAAGGCCACCCTTTCCATCTTCTGTCTTCCCAGGCCGCTGCCACCTCCTCTTCCTGTTGTTCGGGTCCAGACTTGGATGCATCAGCACGGTTCCAGCCTTTTCTTCGGCTCACTGGTGAACACGTGCCTCCCACAGCACTGGCCAAGAGCTGGTGTTGCAAATGTTGAACGCCGTGTTGTCTGTCCCTGGAAGACTTTGGCTCAGTTCATCAACAACTCAGGGCTGCATTCTGGATATTTACCTAGAGATGTTGTAAAGGGGTGTTGTAATGCCTCCTTCCGGTGCCTGGAAAACATGTCCATCTGAGGCATGGTCCAGATCAATGGACCCACAGAACAAATTGTGTGGGAAGTGGCGCTCACTTCCCTGGGATGAGAAGCTGTGCTATGGACACCAGACCATCACAAGCTCTCAACCTTCTGAAGCAAGATTGCAAAAAACCTCCCGAACTCCCCAATACCTTTGCCCTCCTGGTGTGTAAGACTTCCCATAGTCCTGCCTTGTGTTGAGTCCACAGCACGAGAGATGGTCAGGTTGCCACCCAGTGTTTCTGCAACCCCAAAAGTCCATTCGAAAACTACAGAGGAGACCTGTGCACAGCGTGTTCTTGGTTGTAATTCGGGAATGACACCTGCTAGAGCAGGCTGACTGCTTTTAAGGAAACAGGCGTTTGTCAGGCCCCCTCTGAGAAGAAACAATGGCATTTCAGTCTGATGCTACCTCTCTGCTGCCTCACCCTGTACCCACTTCCGCTTGGGAGGCTTCGGGCCTGCAGGCCTTATGGCAGTTGGTGTGGAAAGCAGATCATGAGTAGAGCCCAGACTGGGCTGGAATAAGCCAGGAACCAGGGTGGTGCACCCCTTCTCCGTGGCCCCCCCATAAGCTGAGGGGCATTGGTAAGTTCAGATGACTTCCCCTGCCCTAGGGGACAGCAGCAGAGCCAGGACAAATGTATTTCCTGGTGCTTCTAGGACTGAATGTTACCTAGAAATGCTGCATGGCCCTGGCAGCAGAGGAATTATCAGTGCATCTTTGAGTCTCTTGACTGCCTCCTGCCACCCCCTACCCCACCCCCCACCCCCAACTCCCTGCCTAAGGAGGCAGCAAAAATCCTGGCTGGGCCATGTCTAGAGGCTGGATTTCATACCATATGTCTTTCCCTACCTGTTCAGAGTGATCCCTACCAAGTGCACCTGTTCTGGCATGGACTAGATGGAGGGACCCTTCAAGTTCAGGCTTTTTTTTTTTTTTATTTGAACAGTGTGTTTTATTTTTTTTAACATTTTATTAGGGGCTCATACAACTGTTAGCCCAATCCATACACACATCAATTGTGTAAAGCGCATTTGTACATCGTTTCTCAAAACATTTTCTCTCCACTTAAACCCCCGACATTAGGTCCTCATTTTTCCCCTACCTCCCCCCTCCCCCCTCCCTCATGAGTCCTTGATAGTTTATAAATGGGTATTTTGTCATATCTTGCCCTGTCCGACGTCTCCCTTCACACTTTTCGGTTGTCTGTCCCCCAGGGAGGAGGTCACACACAGTTCCATGTAATCGGTTCCCTCTTTCCTACCCATTCTCCCTTTACCCTCCCTGTTTTGCCACTCACACCACTGGTCCTATAGGGCTCATCCGTCCTGGATTCCCTGTATTTTCAGTTCCTATCTGTACCAGTGTACCTCCTCTGGTTTAGCCAGACTTGCAAGATCGAAGTTCAGGCTTTTATTGAAGTAGATCACTACTCAGATGCCTTTTACTGCAGATTGTTTCAAAAGATACTACAGGGAGATATGAAATGCAAGAGTCTCCGGCTTTTTCTCACCTATCTGGGAAAGAAGTAGCTAAGGTGTGTGTATGTGTAGAGAGAGGAAGGGGAGGGAAGGAGAGGCAGCAGCCTGACAGTGATTTTAACCTGACTCTTAAATTTCTACCCATTCCTCCAGTCGGGCGAGTGTATCGGCCTTTGCTCAAGGAGTCTGTTGGAAACAAAAGCAGGAGAAAGTGGGTTGGCAATTTCCGAGCATACATTCTGTTCTGTGAACTTGTGGTCGGCACGTAGGAAGGAGAACTCCCGTGTTACAGGATGGGAGCCAAAGGCTCAGCACTGCTGAGCTGTCCCAATTTGCAAGGCTTGGTATAAGACCAGGAGGCAGAACCTGCGTACAAAGTGCCTAAAGGTCTAACTCCAAGGCCCTATCCTTTCCTCTGACGAATCACCCTGAAGGTGCTCTCTAAAGCAGCAAGCGCCAGGCACATGGTACTGGCTGTGCCTGCCCTCTTGAGTGGGCCTAAGAGGTATTGAGTTGCCTGGTAATGGATCCCCTCGCATTGCTGCAGGAAAGGAATTTGTGGTGAAGGCCAGCAGCTTTTCTCAGACAACCTTCCCTTTGTGAATCAGGTGTGGGGGGACCGCCTGTGAGCTTGCTAACATGCCTGGGGACTCCACATCAAGTGCCAGGCCCTGTGCTTTGTTGTTGGTGCCAGTCTTGCTGCTAACCACAAGGTCAGCAGTTCAAACCTACCCACCAATCCTCTGGAGAATGATGAGGCTGTTTATTCCCATACAGATAGATAATACAGCAGTGGGGTTTTTTGTTTTCCTTTTAATGTGAAGCATCAGCGTTTCATCTTCTAACAACTCTGTGATAGGATGTTTACATTTACAATCAAAAGAAAGCAAAATGTGACACCACTGGTAAGTGGCAGAGTCAGCCCTGGCTTTCGGGGTGTCAAACTTTTAATCGCTCTATTGTGGGCCACAGGATGGCCTGCGGCAGAGGCACCTGTACCACTGCTGTGGATTCCAGCTCAGAGAGACCCAAACACTGCCACACCTTCCTCCCGTGGGGTGGCTGGTGGGAACCTTTTGCTTAGCAACCAAGTGCCTAACCCCTGTGCCACTAGGGCTCCTTGAAAGAGGCCCCAGAGAGCCAGTACCCTGCCTTTCCCCGCCTCCCAAGCCTGTTGTTAGTAAACAGAGTGCTTGTTAAACAGATTAACTGAAAACATAAATCAAGCCCGTTGATTAAGTAGGATGCCTATAATTGGATTGTGTCTGGCAAGAAGTTTTACATCGCAATTGACACTGAAACGGCATCCTTCCTTTCTCTTAAACAAGAGGCCACTTATTCAGTGCCTGCAGGCTGACAGGTGGGTGAGGTCCGAAGGGGCAAATGTGCACCAGTCAGGAAACCAGCTCGCCCACAGCTATGGAACAATGAAACCAAGAAGGGAGGGGACGCAGAAAACTAATAGCAAAACCCGAAGCAGTTCCTGGAGTCAAACACCTGCAGATCTTCACGCACTAAATATAGTGGAAGTTGGGCCATCTTATCCTTAAGTAAACACTACCGCTAGGCAGCCTTTTATGAAAAGGATCTTTACATTGGCTCACCACCCGCAGAGGCTGGGAGGAGCAGCCTT